TGTTGGTTTGACAGGAACTGGGGAGGAAACAGGAGCTCACCCTGTTAACGCGAAGGCTGGACTCGAACTGCTGAAGCGTCGACTATTTCTGGCCGGCAACTTTCAGCGTCATTCAGCTGCTGCGCTACCACGTCCCCATATATTTATAATACAAATGACAAAAGTAAAGCAATTGAAAAGGCAAGTTATAATAAAAAAGCATCAGATAAAAATCATACATAGAAAGTGGGCAATAAAGCCATTACAAGCTTAAAAGAACATAAGAGTCCTTAGAACCACTTTAAAAGTTGCAAGGAAAGTATCCAGTTAGAACTGTCTTTCCATTCTTCCTTGCCTGGAATTTCCTCCCAAGATGATGAGACTTCTCTTTTCTTATGATATCTGGGCTGCAAAAGTGGCCTACCACTAGAGGGCAGCAAAGATATTATAGTTTGCTGAGTCTCTTTGCTGCCATCTGTGTTCATCTAGAGTTCTGCAGTTCAGATATGGTAAGCCAACTCTGAGTCCCTGCTCAAAGCCAGCTAGCTCCCATGGAGCCTATGACACAAGCCCTTTTTCTTAATCTCAAATGCGATATAGTTTGTAACTGTAGTTCCTCCCATTCATAACTTTGTGCTGTGTTTGTTTCCCCTCCTATATTGTTTCCTACATTTTCAAAATTTCAATTGCTAACTTCGAGGGACAGAAAGCTAGAAGCTTTAGATGTGTTTCTGTTTCCCTATAAAGTACTCCACAGTGTGATAATGATAAATAATACAGTGTAATGTGAAAATCAGGAACTTCCCATTTCAAACTGGCCCTCAACAGCAACATTTCATTGGCTGGTATCCTAAGGCAGTGTTTTTCAACCTTGGCAACTCTAAGATGTATGGCCTTTAACTTCCAGAATTCCCCAGCCAGCATGGCAGCATGGCTGGCTGGGGAGTTCTGGGAGTTGAAGTCCCCACAACTTAGAGTTGCCAGGGTGGAGAAACACTGTCCTAAGGCCTTAGGGGGCAACAGTATAGGTTCATTCTCTGCAGTAAAATCATCAGCTGAAGACATGACGCAGAGCTTATAGAGAAACTCCATCTTCTCTCATTAGCATTAATGCTGGACTGTCATGGGCCTTTTAGTCCTATTAATGGGAGCTA